GTCGTCCTGCTTCGGTGCCATTCTGTCCCCCAGCGTGTCGCCCTATTCCCAGGCTTGGTACTTGCCATCAGTCAGCCATGTCTGGATTCTTGCACCGCTTGGTCCTGCCAGACTCAAGTCTTTGCTGCAGACTTCTGTTGTCCATGGCAACTCTGTAGGTATATCCTTGGACCCTCTCTGGCCCTGACCTCTTGCTGGGACCTCTTCCTGGGGTAAACACCAGGTCCCCTCACAGGGACTGAATGCCCACTCTGGCCCCTCTGGTCCAGTTGGAGACCTCACTTCCAGTTCCCCCCACTGGTTTTCTGCCATTATACTGGCGCCAGGGGTCTGGCTGACCAATCAGTCCTGGCACACTGTTATAAAGTGTGCCCATGCCGACAAGTGAGCCGGTCCTGGCTCCTTCGGGCTTGGCCGTTTTTTTTTTTTTTTCCCCCCCCCCCCCCAGCAGCTCTGCACGCTGCGGTTTCACTTTCACTGTGTTCAGCTTCCAGTGCAGTGCCCCACTGTCTCTGCTCCTCGTCCAGTGGGGGTAAGACTTTTCCACACTATCCAAATCAAATCGGAACCCTCCAATTCAATTTGGAGAGATTCAGAAAGATTCGGCCATAGTCACAGCTTTATATATTTTTTCTACATACCTCAAGGTACCAGGCACGGCTTGTGACTACTGAGATGGTGGGGTGGGTGGAGCATCCCACGGGAGGGTGAAGAGAGAGAGAGGCCCTGTGCACCTGGCGGCAGACACAGAAGTGGACCAGAAGTACTTCCAGGTCCACTTCTGGGTCTACCGCAGAGCATGGAGAGGATCTCTTCACCCCCCAGCTCGGTGACTGGTGCCTCCTGGGTCTGGAGGGCCACCTGGGGTCCCCCCGCAGCTGATCGCCAAGCTGGAAGTGTGCAGGGGGGGTCCCCCATGCACTCAGCGGCAGACCCAGAAGTACTTCCGTTCCACTTCTGGGTCCGCCACCGAGCACACAGGGGACCCCACCATGTTCCTGTGGGATGCTCCATCCACCCCAGCATCTCAACATTCATGAGTCACGCCTAGTACCTCAAGGTATGTAGAAAAAACATATAAAGTTGTGTCTATGACCAAATCGCTGATTGAGATTTGGCCAAATCAAATAGGGACAGTGATCCAAATTGGCGAATCAAATCACTGCCCCCCAAATCGGGCCAAATCCGAATCGAATACTGCCTGCTTCGCACACCCCTAATGACCGGTTCCAAAATCTTGTGCAATACAAAGCCTAAGCTTATCTAGTAGAAGATAGTTAACACTACTTAGATTGAAACTACTTAACTCATTTATTTTTAAACTACTTCGTCCCCAAAGTGCTAACTTGCACAAAACTGTTTCCGAAGAAAATTAAAACTTTTGGTCATTTGTTGTATAGTAAACATTTACCTGAAGATGATCCATGGTTAGTAATACTAATCTCTTTACTAATTATTTTACTGTTTGCAATCACTGTGCCAAAATTAATCTTCGGCTCAATTTCCAGAAAACAGCGTGGAATTAATCTGCAGAGAAAAAGACATTTAATTATTTTTTCCATAACTTCAAGATATTTTGTAGGTTTAAGAAGAGACTATAGGCATATGTATATGTAACAATAGAATGGAAAAAAGTCTTCTATTTCCACTAATACTCCAACTACTTATGCAAGTCACTTCACCAGTACTGAAGTGAACACACAAAAAATATAAAAACAGCCTGCTTATTAAACTGCCAAGTTTTAAGTTGTAATTTATTTCTATTCAATTAGTTGAATTGGAATGCCACTACATATATCTATTTATGTTTGAAATCCTTTGTTTTCAATGTCCAAAACCCCAAACACAAGTAGGATTACACAGAAGTTAGCTTGAAGACAGTGCTTTAGCAAAGGGGGGGAGGGGTGAGCAGGGCAACCTGGGGAGATGCCAAAGTGAAGGGGCAACAACAGGCGTTGCCCAGCTGAGGCAGGTCACAGGATGGAGCCGCCAGCAGCTAGTTTGGGGGAGGGGCACAAGGGAAGGGTGGCTCCCGCCACTGTGTGCACTCCTGGGCAAACATGCCCCCTAGATCTGTGAGCAGGGTGAGGGCAAGCTCCTGCTGTGGGCTTTGCCCCAGGAGCCAAAATTCTTTGCCATGGCACTGCTTGAAGAAAATCATGTCCACTGTTCTAAAACAAGGCCCAATTCAGCAATGCTTTGTGTGGGCAACCTGTGTGGGCAAATGTGGACCTCCAAAGAGGACTGGGGTCTAACAATCACAATACATCTCAAATCAGAATGTAGACATTTTTATGGCATGTTCTATTCTATAGCTTCATCCTTTTTTATCTTCCTACATTATCTGAGTTTCTTGTTGTTTGACACATTCTAAATTTCTCTCTCAAAGGACGAAAAACAACTGGTCTCAAAATTTAACATTTTATTGCAACCAGAGGCTTGAAAAAGCAAAGTGGGTGTCTATTACATTTTTGTCTAATATAAGGGGTGTCAACCAGGAGTACGTGTATCCCGAGGGGTACTTAGAAAGGTTGCGGGGGGTATGCGTGGGCAGATGGGGACAGAGCACACCCCAGGGCACAACAACAGCATCTCCATCAGTTCATTCCCACACTTCTCCTCTTACCTAGGAGAGAGGGAGGGGGTCGCCAGGCGCCACCAGCCCCATGCAGCACATCATGGTGCCTCCCCACCCCAGCTCTCCAATTCGCTCTCCTGATTGGCCACCAGGCAGCCACCCTCAGCCAGTAGCTGATGGTGAGGAGGCACCATGGCCACCCACTTTCCACAGAGCTGCGAGGGTCTGAATGGCGGGGCGGGGGAAGGGAGCGCATTCTGTACCCAGCCCAGGTGGTGCACAATTGGCCAGGTGCGAGACCCATCAGCAGTCCACAGAGCCACATGCCCCTCACTCTGTAGTTGATGGAGAGAGACTACATGAACCAGGCAGGCTCTGGGCTTATATCGGGGTGGGCAAAATACAGCCCATGGGCCAGATCCAGCCCGCCAGGCACTTTCATCCTGCCTGCAGTGCCCACCACCTAATTGTACCCCATTCAGCCCTTCTGCCCACGAGGGTGACAGCAAGGTGCCCATGTATATGCCCTGCCCCACCAACATACTCTATTGTGCCTCACTCCCACCCTCACGGATGAAAGAGCCCAGCCAGGCCAGCACCCAGCTTCTGGGAAGGGCTGCTGTTGCCACTGCTGCAGCTACTAGGGGACCTGCTCCCCCCAGTGTCCCGCTTGCTCCAGGTAGTAGGTAGAGAAGAGGCGGGGGTGGGGGCTACAGCTGAGCAGGAATACAGAGCAGGAACTGGGGCTGGTGGCAGCACAGAGCCCACGCCCAGGGGGTTGGCGGCAGCATGGACCTCAGGTGGGCAGGGTACGGGTGTGAGGGAGAATGGGGGGGAGGGGAGACCCACCCCACACACCCAAGTAGGGGAGACCCACCCCACACACCCAGGTAAGGGAGACCCACCCCACGGCGTGCAGCAGCAGCAGGCAGGGGCAGTCATTCCCCATGCAGGCACTGGTGCCCAGCAGCACGTGGCTCCAGCCAGTGCTGCACATCACAGCAAGGAGCACGGCTGCCTCTATCGCTGTGGCTCTGCACCACACACATGCAGCTTCCCGCACTCGCGCACCACTAGGAGGAAGCTCCATGCACTGGAACCAGCTTCCTTCACCGCTCCCTGCTGTGCAGGTCCCAGGACTCTGCGGGGAAGCAGGAGCTGGGGCTCCCCTCCACTTCCAGCAGAGTCCAGGACCTGCACAGCAAGGAGTCGTGAAGGCAACCAGCTCCAGTGAATGGAGCTTCCCTCCAGTGGCACGCAAGGGCAAAAACTACAAATGCACGGCAGGGAGCACCAGTGATAGATGCAGCCCAGCAGGAACTGTGCTCCACGCCATGATATGCAATGCTGGCTGGAGTCACGTGCCACCAGGCGCCAGTGCTGGGCATGAGCACCCTAAGTGCACCCACCTCCTGCTGCCACCACCTGCAGGGCTGAGCAACATGGCAGGAGTGTGGGGGGGTGGTCCCCATGCCCCCTCATACCCCATAAACACCACACACCCATACCCATACACCCCCAACATACTCTGTGCCACCCCACACCCCACCATACACACACACACCCCACACCCTCCAACCACACCTCCGCACAATATACAAAACTAAGAATTTATTTTTGAGTTATTATGTAATCACCTCTACATACAGTATGTAAACACAAATCATGACAAAATATTTTTTGTAATAAAATTAAAATATGTTATAGTAGGTGTTTGACTCTTAGTGTATGATTTGTTTTATTTCTAAGATAGCAACTGTCCCCCTCCCCAACCCCCAAAAGAATATTTCCAGGGGGCAAGAGGAGGGACTTCTACTGGCAAAGGTCAGGGGTTAGGGGCAGGAATTCCAGTTCCAAGATGGCAACAAGGTGGAGGGGCTACCCATGTTGCCTTTGAAAGCTGACCAAACCTCATTAAGCATCCTTCCAGCCAAAATAATTGCCCACCCATGGCTTATATAAATCAACCCTGAGCCCTCTTCTGGTCAAGCGAGTCCCTCATTAGCTCCCCCCCTAACACCTGCAAGCAGCCTCTCAGGCTGTTTGTTCTCTTAAAGGACCAAGCACATCCCAGTGCCCTGCTACACGCAGTAATTGCCACACTTTAGCAGACTTGATTAATCAATAGCTATCATAGTAGACTCAATTTATTGAGTCTGCTCCAACGTGCTGTATTTACACCATGTCAGAGCAGCCTCCATGCTTGTGTACAGGCACCCAAAGTTATTAAACATAATTTATGGAAGAACTTTGTGGCTTATCCTCATTTTATCATGCTATTAATAGAATGAATGTGTCCAGGTCACTACTGAAGACAGGATTAACTAGTTGAATCACATTTTAAGTGTAACTTTTGTCAGGGGCCTAAGTTTGCAAAAGAGATCCTGATCATAGTTGATCTATAGTCTTGTCTCTCTGAAGACCAAATGATCCCAAGTTTTTGTTAACTGTGATGCATCCTTAATACATTTAGACACAAAAGGAACAGATGGGAAGAAGGCAGGGTATGCATCCCTGAAATGTCACAATGTCACTTTTTTAATACATGTATCCCTTTAATCTGGATATACTACAAAAACAGTGAATTCTAGGAGCTGACAAACTAGACAAATAGCATGTAAAATAGTTGTCTCCTAGACTCCTATCTTGATTATAGCTTTTGAACCCTGTGGCAAAGCACCTTTGGTGTCTGCCACTTTAAGGCTTGAGAGCAGGCAGCAGGGTGGCCTACAGGTGTGGGCTAGCCCTAATGAGGTGGTCACATGAATCCAGGAGGGCCCTGGGATTGGAGGAGGGGGCTGGGCAACCTCTATTTTAGATCCAGGCCCTCAGGGTTGAGCCAGCAGTCTGCTGCTGGCAGCCAGAGAAACATCTCCCAGCTGAGCTGCTGCTTGAAACATCTTGGCGATAAGGGCAAGGGCTATGGGGATCGTAGGAGGATCCTGGTCCTGGGTAAGACCTAAAACTGCACCCTGCTAGGTAAGGATGACCTGGTGGGACTGCCTGTAGTGGGGTAGTTCCCTGGAAATGCCAGGCCAGTTGCCTCCCCAGTGAAAGTTGGGTAAGGATGCCTTATAACCCCAGCTCCCACTACCTGATGGGTAATTTAGAAAGCAGACACAGGGTGGGGGGGCCAGGCACATCTCCAGGCACCTGAGCCTCCAGACAGGCTGAGTACATGTAGCCTTCAGAAAGGAGGGCTCAGGACAAGCCAAATGAGGAGCCAGGGTGGTAGAAGACCCTGGTGGCCCCAGCAAGGGGACAGAAAGAGAAACCCCAAGGAGGGGGCAGAGAGTGATCCAGAGAAAGGCCAGTGGCTGAGTTCAGCCCAGTGTGGGGCAGGAAGCCAGCAGCCATGAAAAGTAGGGCTGCATGTGTACCGGCTAGAGTTTGTGAGCAAAAAAGCCTGAAGGGCTGTTCAGGGTAGGTCCCAAGGGGGACCCAAAAGACTACACAGAGTAGGGT